TCTTCATAACACCCAGCTTCCCAAATGATCTCTTCTACATACACATTGAAAAGATACGGAAACAGGATGCAACCCTGATGCACTCCATTCCTGATTTTGAACCATGCAGCGTTTCCTTGTCCTGTTTTGAGGATTATTTCCTGATCTAATCAAATGTTCTAGGATTCCCATTCTCCTCAAGGTTAGCCACAATTTTCTGTGATCCACGAAGTAAACTACCTTTGCATGATCAATGAAGCACAGACAGACATTCCTCTGGTACTCTTTGCTTTCTGCCAAGATCCATCTGATATTGGTAGTAATGTCTCTAGTGCCATGACCTCATCTAAACCCAGCTTGTATTTCTGGTAGTTCTTTGTTAATGTACTGTTCCACTCATTTCTGGATCATCTTCAGCAAGATTTTACATAGGGATGATATTGATAATTTCCACACTCTGCCAGGTCACCTTTCTTTGGAATGGGAATAAATATTAATCTCTTCCAGTCAGTTGTCCAGGTAGTTTTTCTCACAACCTGGTGAGCACATCCAGGGCAGCATCTGTTTGTTGAAATGTATCAGTTGGTATCCCATCAATTCCTGGATCTTTATTATTTGCCAAGTCCTTCAAAGTAGCCTGTACTTCCTCGTTTATCATCATTTCCTCTTAATCATATGTTGTTTCTTGAAATTCTTCTGTCCCAGCCTTTTCTTTTTGGTACAATGGTTCTGTACACTCTTTGCACCTTCTTTTAATGCTTCCTGAATCATTGAATATTCTGATCATATAGCATCCTTAAGTATTGCAACTCATGGCTTGAATTTGTTCTTCAATTCCTCCAGCTTTAAGAAATACTGAACAAGTTTTGTCCTTTTGATTTTCTGACTCCAGTTCCTTACACATTTAATTCTAATACTTTGTCTTCCTGAGCTGCCTTTTGAAATCTTCTATTCAGCTCCTTAATGTCTTGAATTCTTTCCTTTATGTTGGTTTCTCAGTATTCTAGAGCAATATTCAGAGTCTCTTCTAACATCCATTTTGGTCTTTTCCTCTTCCTCCATCTTTATAATCACCTTTTGCATTCTTCATAGACAATAAGCTTTTTTTCCCCCATGGATGACATTCTTCATGGCTTCCCACAGCTCCTCTGGTCTTCATTCATTAGTGTTCAAGGCCTCAAAATTATTCCTGAGTTTGTTTTTAACTTCAGGAAGGATAGAATCAAAATCAAATTTTGATTCCTGTGGATATTATTTGACTTTATTTAGCTTTAGTTTGGACTTGCATATGAGTAGTTGAGGTACTGTTCCACAATGAGCACCTGACCTCATTTTCACTGTTGATACTGAACTTCTCCAATGATTCCTTATGCAGATGTAATCGATCTGATTCTTATGCATGCTATCTGGTGAAGTACATGTGTTTAGCCTGCCTTTATGTTTCTTATAAAAGTTATTTGCAAAGAATAAATCATTGATTATGCAGAATTCTATCATTCTAGCCCCAGACTAATTTCTGTCACCAAGCCCTTGTTTTCTGAATACTGATCCTTCTTCCTGGTTCCCAACATTCACATTACAGTCATCCATTATTATTAATGCATCTTGGTTTCATGTTCAATTGATCTCTGACAGCAGAAGTTGGTAGAAATCATCTATTTCCTCCTCTTTGGGTCTGGTTGTTGGTGCATAGATTTGAGTGATAGTGGTATTAACAGGTCTTCCTTGTATACATATTGATATTATCCTGTAGCTCACAATATTGTGTTTCAAGATGGATCTAGATATGGTATTTTTCTGGAAGTGGTAGCCTTTCTTCTCTCTCAGCTACCTCAGCTCCTTTGTTGCGCTCTCCCTCAAAATGGAAAACATCTGGCCATCATCCATTTTTTTTGGCGGTAGTTATTGAGTTCTTCCCTTTCCCATTTCCCCTCTGTTGCTTGTTGTCCTTCTCACTTCCTGGGCACTTGAGGCTCTGCTTCAGCATGGAAGCGCATTACCTGCCCACCTTGTTCTGCTGCCTCTGCTGTTACTTGGAAGCAGGTGGCCTCAACATGATGGCAACATTAAAAAGAGAAAAGAAGAAGAAAAAAAATAGATATAACTTTTTAAACTATGAAAGTGATCACACTTTTTTTCTCACCTTTTCAAATCCAGCATAGTAGATCATACGTGCAAGTATAATCTTGTTGAAGATATTCACAAACAACTGGAA